CATGAGCGATTTTCCTACTCCCACTACGTACAGCCACATGGGCTCCTTGGAGCTCCTTGAACATCACAACTTACTCTTTCGCTTCAGAGCTATTGTATACGCTGTTTCTTCTTTCAGGAACATTTTCTCCAGATTTCCTTAGAACCCACAGTCTGTTACAAGGTTGTTAGTAAAAAATCTTGTCATAGAGCTCTCTCCTGGTCTGCCTTTCTAAATTAGCAGTCCCTCACTCCTTGCTATCCTGTCCCTAATCCTGCTTCGTCTTTAGTTACCACTTACTGACATACTTGTGTATAAGCCGAGTTTTTCAGCACATTTTTATGCAGTTTTTGTGGTAAAATTAGGACCTTGGCTGATACTCAGGTCGGCTTATATTCGAGTATATATGGTACCTAAAAAGCACCAACATTTTAATGCAGGAGTTGACAAAAGCTAGCCCAAAGCCCATGAGCTGAAAATTATCTTTAGATTTTTAAAATGGGGAAACAAAAAATACTAGATAATAGAGGTGGTTTGTAGCTTTCACAGCCTAAAATATTTTCTTTCTTTTTTTCCCCTTATGCGGAAGCTTTTATTTATTTATTTTAAAAAATCATTTTGTTGGAGGCTCGTACAACTCTTATCACAATCCTTACATACATCCTTTGTGTGTCAAACACATTTGTACATTTGTTGCCCTCATCATTCTCAAAGCATTTGCTTTATACGTGAACCCTTGGTATCTACTCCTCATTTTTCCCCCTCCCTCCCCATTCTCCCTCCCTCTGAACCCTTGATAATTTATAAATAATTATTAGTCATATCTTACGCTGTCCGACGTCTCCTTTCACCCACTTTTGTACATCCCCCAGGGAGGAGGTTATATGTAGATCCTTGTAATCGCTTCCCCCTTTCTACCTCACCTTCCTTCCACCCTCCTAGCATTGCCACTCCCACCACTAATCCTGAAGGGATCATCTGTCCTGGATTCCCTGTTTCCAGATCCTGTCTGTACCAGTGTACATCCTCTGGTCTTGCCGGATTTGTAAGGTAGAATTGGGACCATGATAGTCGGGGGAAGGAAGCATTTAAGAACTAGAGGAAAGCTGTATGTTACATGGTTGTTATACTGCACCCTGACTGGCTCGTCTCTTCCCCACGACCCTTCTGTAAGAGGATGTCTAGTTGCCTACAGATGGGCTTTGGGTCCCCAATTTGTACTCCCCCTCATTCACAGTGATATGATTTTTTGTTATTTGATGCCTGATACCTGATCCCTTTGACACCTTGTGATCACATAGTCTGCTGTGCTTCTTCCATGTGGACTTTGTTGCTTCTGAGCTAGATGGCCACTTGTTTACCTCTAAAATATTTTCCACGTGGCCCTTCACAAGGTTATTTTTCCAGAAAATTATTACAAAGTTCACATTCATTTAATCACTGCTTGGGAACAGAATTAAAATATTTTGAGCACCCTAGAAATCAATGCGCTCTCTTATTACAAGTCCTTCCCATTACTCAGGAGGTAACTACTATTCTACTTTTGTGGTAATCATTTGCTTTTCCCCAGAGCCTGAATACCCACCAACATATCCCTAAGCAGAATTGTCTCATTTTCCCATTAAGTCAGTTCTGTTAATCATGATGCTTAAATCTGTATTCAGGTTTAAGGATGTTTGTTCTACCATTCTCCAAGAATCTCTTAGGATTGTGCGAGTTGTTGTTTCAGCATGTATTTATGCTCATTTTTGCTTCGTGAATTTTGAGCCTTTATTTTGGGGACTCATTTTTCAGTATTCATTTAGATTTCTCTCTTTCTGTCTGTGTTTGTTTCCATTTTGTCCCTTACACCTTCCATGGGGGGGAGTCACTTTCCTTCTGGCTTTTTGTATTCCTTTAGTGTGTATATGCCGGAGATGAACCCCGTAGGGCTTTGTTTGCTGAAATTATATTGTTCTTATTCTTGAAAGATATTTTTGCTGTGTATATTTCTGGATGGGCTTTCTTCTCCCTTTTTAGTACAATTTTTGGCTTATGTTCAGAATTTTTTTTTAACCTTTAGTTTCATTTGGAGGTGCCCCCCTTTATTATTCTTTTTTTCCCCTTGTTTGTGAGGTTCTACCATTTCACTGTAATGTGTTTTTAAATTTTTTTCTGTTTGGAATTAACTGGAATTAGATTCTGGAATTGGTGTAGTAGCATCTCTTATCAACACCAGTTCTGGATAATCATTAGGCGTTGCTTCTTCAAATATTATGTCCTGTGTTGTTTTTCCTTCTGTGGAATTCCCACTAAACATGTTTGACCGTTTTACTCTGGAACTTTGCTCCTTGTTTATATTTTGTCTTCTTTGTTCCATTCTAGTTACTCTCCTTGCTGCTTTTCAGTACCAAAATTCTCTGCTTAGTTGTGTCTGATTTACTGTTGACCCCATTGAATTCTTAACCTGGGCTGCTATATCTTTCATTTCTATTTGGCTCTTTTTCAAACCACTAGCTAGTTTGTTTGGTTAGATTTTTGTTTCTGCTGTATCCAAGCCTGTCTCTGTTTTCAAACCCAGGAGATAAACTGTTTTATAACTTGCATGATAGTTCTGATATCTAGTTTTTGTGAATCAGTGTTTGCCGTCTCTTATTTCGCCTAGTTGTAGTCATTATTAATCAGTTTGATCCCATACAGATGATCCTTAAAAGAGGGCGTATCTTATTTTGCTGCTGCTGCTGTTACCTGCTATTGAATTCTTTCTAACTCATAGTGACCCTATGTACAACAGAATTGAAATGCTGCTTGGCTCTATACCGTCCTCATAATCATTGCTGTTTCCCTTTTTAGTAAAAAAAAGGATAATTAAGGTAAGCTGTTTGGTTTTAAGAAGACTTCAGAAGAAATTTTTGGTTTAGGGTCTAAAGATGCTCTCAGAGAAAGTTTCACGAGCTCATTCATCCTCCGTGGCTCCAGAAAGTCTGGGCTCCATGTGAATTTGAAGTCTACTCTTGCATATCCCCACTTGATCAGGATTTTTCTATGGCATCTTGGTCAACATTTTCAATAATAATCATGCTTCACTTGTTTTGACTACTCATTATTCTTGAAAAGTTACCTGTATGGTTTCTTTGCAGCCTAGTGTGATGAAGATGCATTCCTCCAGGGAGAATTCTTGTTTGCCACTGCAAAGTGCCTAGAGATTTTACCACTCCAAAACTACGTTGAAATACTAAATTTGTGGCTCGTGTTTTTTTAGTTTGTACTAAGGAAGAGGGAATGTTGTTCCCCTGAGAAATGTTAAGATGATCCAAATCAATATTGCCTGGTGGCTAGAAAAAAAGAAACAAAAACACACCAGCTGCTCTGTGGGAGGAAGATGTGGCAGCCTGCTTCTGTGAATGTCACCACTTTACAAACCCCTGCCCTAGCCGGTCGGTCACCTGAGTTGAAATGGGCTCAGGTCTCTACTTTCTTGCTTCTTCCTTTACCCTAATGTTTTCATTGTTATCCAAAGCAAAGGCGTGTTTTTTTTTAATTCTGATACACTCACCTGCTATATTTCCAGAAAGAATTTTAAATCTTTCAGCTCTTGGCAAGTACTTATTGGAATAAGTGGCAAACCAAAACCGAAGCCTTAGAATAGATAGGTGGCAGAATGGATAATTTTCATATTGTATCATTATTGCCCTCATTTACTTCGACCTTTATAGCCGTGTTTGAATTTCAAGAAGTAAGAATAGTTTTGTTCTTTCTTGTTACCTGCTGATTATGAAAGTACAACCATTCTGAAATAGTGAAATAGTTTCTCCTGCAGATCTATTGTTATGGAGCTTAATGAGCGGTTTGACTTTTTCTGGGTGTAAACATATATATTCATATAATAAGTGACATCATTTCCATTGCTTTTTTAACCACTATCCTGTAAAGATTTTGTATTCTTTAAACTGTGTGGTAATAAATGTCCTTGTACTTACAGCTATACTTTTAAGTACCCTTTTTTCCTTTGGGCAAATTACTGAAGTGTAATTCTTGAGTCAAAGAAATGACACATGAGATAATGTCATCACACAAATTGCTAAATCTGTTTCAGAATGTCAGCTTCTATACACCCTGCTAATGTCAAGCTTTATCATTCTAATTTTTGTACTAAGGGAAAAAAATAACCTCATTTTAACTTGCATTTCTTTATTAACGATAGTAAACATCCTTTCATATGTTTAATGGTCTTTTAGATTTGTTTCTTAGTGAACCTCAGTTTTTGTTGTTTGTCTTTTCTGTTGTTAGTGTATTTTTCTTATTCATGAATAACTTATTAAGGATTGTTAATTTTTTGCCATTTGTATTGTGAAATTTTTTTTTGCCTGTTTATAATTTTGTTTTTTTAACTTTATGTTGAATTAAAATTTGTGGGAACTGATCAATATTTTATGGCTTATGGGATTTTGTACTACTAAAAGATTTCTGTATGTTTTGTTTTAATGTTGAAGAAAATCCTTTACCACCAAGAGGTTTTTAAAAGCATGTTATTTGTAATTTTGCTTTAAATTTTTCATTCTGATACAAAACTCACTGCCATCAAGTTGATACTGACTTACAGTGTCCCTACAGGACAGGATAGAACTGCCCCAGTGAGTTTCTCAGACCCTGATTCTTTATGGGAGTAGAAAGTCTTTCTCCCTTGGTGATTGCCAACTGCTGACCTTGCAGTTAGCAACCCAATGTGTAACTACCACACTCTTAGGCTCTTATGGTAGGGATAGATTCATTTCCCCCCAGCACTGTCCAATGTCCTACCATCTTTTCATAAACTACCACTACTTTGAAATACACTTCAGTCACAAAAATTATAGATCCCTGTGGTGGGTCTGTTGTAAGAAGCTCTGTTTTGTGCCATTGACTGATTTGCCTACTCTTATTACCAGTATTATATTGTTTTAACTAAAAGTAGTTTTATTATATGTTTTGATTGCTGGTTGGGTTTCCTTTCACATTCATCATCAAAAATCATGTGACTACTTTTAGTTTTACAGAATTAATTTCTGAGCTTCCTTCCCTCACATAAGCAAGCAAACAAATAACCTCACCCCAAACACAGTGATGGAGAGAGAACAAATTAAGAAATAAATACATAAAAATTCATGGACAGTGGGCTTTAGTGAAATCCAATGGTATCACCAGTTTGTATCTAGGACTGTGCTGTCCCATTTAATTTAGGTCATCTTTTGTATTTTGCCTCATATCTGTAAGTTTATTTTTAAGTGTTTCACAGTTTTGGGTTTGTGGTTGTTAGATTAAATCTGCTTTTCTTCTATTATATATCCTAACAGATTATATTCCATTGTTAATACATGGGAAAGCTATTGGTTTTACCTTATTTTGTTTTTCACTTTACTGTTCTCTTACTTACAGTTTTTCAAATTATTTGCTTGGCATCCTTTGTGAATAGTTATATAACCCTAAAATGACACTTTCATTTTGTTCCCCAATGCTTGTATCTCCTGTGGTTTTTTCCTTAATTACATTGACTAAAACATTTATAATAATGTTCAATGACTGTGATATGTGGTATTCCCATCTTATTAATAACTTTAATGAAAGGTTTGCAGTGTTGTAATTCAATTATGACATTGATTCCTGGCAAAAAAACAATCAAAGCTCTTCTCTACATAAAAGATAGATACTTCCAGTTTTTTAAAACAACCAGCAATATGCAAATTCTTTTTTGTTGTTTAAGGGAAGAATCATGATATTGTTTCCCTCTTAATATAATGAGTTAGTAGATTTGCTAATAATAATTTGTTAATAATCATAACAGTTCTGGAAAAAAACACATAATTATGGCATATTGTTTCTTTAATATACTATAAGGTTTGTTTGGTTTGGTATTTTATCTTTTTACATGTATGTATAGGATAATCGGACTGAAATAAAATTGAAATAAAGCTCTAACTTTAAAATCATGGGTTAAATGTCTTAATCTTCATTTACTTACAAGACACAAATAACATTTCCTGTGTAGGTTGAAGGTATTTTGAAGTTGATTTGTTGAACTCTACAAATTAATTTATAAATTTAAAGTTAGTAAATGTAGAAATATTAAAATCTAAATTGAAGAAATTTAGTGTAATCATTAACCCAAGTTTATGAATAGTTTATAGTTCAGAGATACATCGTGTGCTTCCTAGTGGTTTTTAAAAAAAATCACTTCTGTTTGATAGCTTGTGCTTCAATCAGTCACGTATTTTGGCAAGACTCACATTCTCGTTCTTTTGTAATTGGTGTGTCTTCTTTCATGTTTTCCAGCGGCGTGTTGAGCAGCCCCTTTATGGTTTAGATGCCAGCATTGCCAAGGAGGCGCCGGAGGAGCAGTCTGCTCTGCCAACCCTAATGTCAGTGATGCTGGCAAAGCCCCGGCTCGACACAGAGCAGCTGGCACAGAGGGGAGCTGGCCTCTGCTTCACTTTCGTTTCCGTGAGTACCAAGACTGAGTGTATGTAGATCCTCGTTGCAGCCCTGCAGTTCCTTGATGCCAGTCGGGTTCATTACATTTGTAGTGAGATGATATTTCCAGTTCTACATCACTTCTGAAGGCATTGTACAGTTAGCGGTCCCCTGTGGTTCAGGCCACTGAGAGAGATTGCTTGTCAAAGTTTGAGTACACGATGGGAAGGAAAATCTTAGATGGACAGAGATGTAAAGACAATACTGCTTAAGTTCCACTAAAACCAAAATATTTTAATACTAAAGATAAAATCTCTCAACTCCAGGAATCCCCTAAAGAAATATTTAGGTAAATAAAATAGCAGTGGGTAGGCAGACATTCTTTATGTGCTTACTGATTATTTCCCCCAATGTGGTATTAGGGTACCTACTCTCTCGCTTAGGGAGCTCACCCTAGAGGTGCAATAATTAAGTACCAGATGGCTCACCTGCTCCTCAGGAAAAATAAGTGAAAGTCTGCTTCTATAGATCCACAGCCTTGAAAACTGGAGCATAGTTCTACTCTGTTGATGGGGTCTCCCTGTCTTGGAGCTGACACACAGCAATGGGCTTTAGGGGCTTGCTTTCCTCACCCGGGTAGTGCAGATAAAATTACCTTTGCCAGGATGATTTTACCGGCTGCCTATGCCTTCATCTCTCTTCCCTGAAGAACAGGAATTGACTGTGCAAGTTCTCCTCTTCTTGATCTCTACCTATTGGTTCCCTAGGTGGTATAGAGCAAGAGAAAGACCCTCTGCCTCGCTCTTCTGGTTTTAAAAAAAATCATTTTATTGGGGGCACTTGCAGCTCTTATCACACTCCATACATCAATTGTATCAAGCACATTTGTACATATGTTGCCAGCATCCTTTTAAAAACGTTTTCATTCTACTTGAGCCCTTGGTATCAGCTCCTTTTTCCTTCCCTCCCCCATCCTCGTGAACCCTTCACAAATTATTGTTATTTTCATATCTTACACTGTTCAATGTCTCCCTTCACCCACATTCCTGTTATTCATCCCCTTGAGGGGGTATTTATACATGGATCATTGTGATCAGTTCCTCCTTTCTCCCCCCACCTTCCCCTTACTCTCATGGTATGGCTACTCCCATTACTTTTCCGGGGGCGGGGTGGGGTGTTTATCTGTCCTGGATCCCATGTGTCAAGAGGTCTTACCTGTACCAAAGTACATGCTCCGGTCTAGCTGGATTTGTAAGGTACACCTGAGTTCATAGTGGGGGGTATGAGTGTTCTGTTTTGTTTTGTTTTTTAAGAGCATCTTTCAGAGCTAACTGATCCAAGTTTTTCTCTCTTACTGTTCATTTTTTCCAATAAGAATTTCTGTTGTTATTGCTGTTGGTGTTGGTTTTTCCCCTGTATGTATACTGTGCATCATTAGGCCATTTGCAACAACATTCAAAAAGTCCTTGAAAATGTTCTGTCTTCATAATGGCAATAAAAGTAATGAAATAATATGACATCATTCTGCAGTATTTCATACACTTTCTTATAGTTAACCTTAAAATGAAATGACACAACCTATGAAAAAATTTGTAGAATTCTTTACTCATTAAAGGGGTGGAGAAACAACTATCAAAGACAATATTCAGTTTATCCTTGGGTAGCAAAGGGTAGACAGAAAGCAGATTGTGAGCTCTGTTTTCTGTGGCACATCTTGTTGGGTTCAGACCGTCAACCTCTGGCTAGTTGTAGAGTGCTTATCTGTTTGTGCTAGCCAGGGACTCCTATTACTATGTGCTTATTATTCACCAATTTTTGTTAAATTTTCAACTTGGATGTCTCATGTTCCCAGGTAAAATCTTGGATAATTAGTACATTGTTGCTTTGTCCTTTTATTGCCTTAAAAATCGCTTCCCTTTTACCTTTGTTCACTCAACAACTAGTTCCTGAGTGCTCAACATGCAGTTGTCACAGAGTGGCGTACATACAATGTTTCTCTAGGGTAACCCTTCATAAAAGCAGTGGGAATGCAGCTTTATAGTGGGACAAGCACACTGCCATTAGCTAGTACATGGAAGCTATCAGGCCACCCAGATGTCATAGCCAGATTGATTGTTCTCATGTAGGAGCGAAAGTGACAGGAGAAGGAAGTGGCAGCGGATGCAGAGGAAACATGAAGATAGTATAACCACCAAAGGCCTTTCTCTTTGCATCTCAGCAGTCCCAGCCAGGCTAACCTGAGCAAGAGAAAGAAAGAATGAGGGAGATAAAGGGGGCTAATAACATGAAAAAAGGTATTCAACTTCATCCGTATGAAATGCAAAATAAAACAAGATACCAGATTTGAACTATAGTTTGAACAGCTCGCAATGAATGCAGTTGGGAGCTTCAAGACATACTCAATTTTCTACTGCTGAAAACTTGGTGCAGTCATTTGGACATATTCATAGTATACAAGAGGACTTCAAAAAGTTTCTGGATAAATTCCACTATCTCTCAATTCAATTTTACCATGAACATTTTGAAATCCCCTTGTATCTCCATGTTAAGGTTACACAAAGATATTTATTGTGATATTGTCTATAATTAGAAAAACTTGAAAGTAGTTTGTCTCCACCAGTGTTCCAAAGACACTTTAAACAAGGGTCAAAAGACCAAGACAAAACAAAAAGTATACTCATTGCCATGGAGTTGATTCCAACCCACAGCAATTCTAGAGGACAAAGTAGAGCTGATGCCTCGGGTTTCCCAGGATGTAGCCGTTGGGGATTACTGTGGAATAGCCGTGCATTTGAGCGACGGACTCTTCAGTTAGCAGCCAAGAGCTTTACCACGTTGCCGTCAGGGCTCCAGTATAAGGATATCATTGCTAAATCCAATAATCATTTCTCAGACCTCAGCCAAAGTGATCGTCAACCTCTGTTGATTACTCTCTTTTCTTACTATGTGCTCTTCACTTGACTTCCAGCTCTCTGAACATTGGATTTGACTCAATGGCTCTGAGCTGAATTTGAAACATGAGAGTGCTGCGTGCTGCCAGGACTCTGTTCAAACTTAATCTACTCATTTTCTTTTTTTTTTTTTTTTT